GAGCAGGGTAAAGATGGAGAGAGGCAGACAGACAGACAGACACTGAGATCATGGTGACACTGCTTGAACTTTGGATCAAGTCACTGTTGTTGAGGATGTGGAGATATTGGAACTCTTGCCTGCTGTTGGCAGGAATGCAAAATGGTGTAGCCACTATGGAAAACACTATGAAGTTTCCTCAAAAAGTTAAAAATAGAATTACCATATGATCTAGCAATTCCACGTCTGCATATTTATCCAAAATAATTGAAATCAGGAACTTGAAGAGATAATAGGACTCCTGTGTTCACTGCAGCGTTATTCACAAAGCCAAAACGTGGAAGCAACCTAAATGCTTATCAACAGACAACTGGATAAAGAAAATGTGGTACTCCTGTCTATTGCTATAGACTAAATTTTAAAAAGTGGTATATACATACAGTGGAATAGTATTCAGCCTTAAAAAAGAAGGAAATTCTACAATATAGGACAAGATAGATGAGACTTGAGGACATTCTGCTACGTGAAATAAACCAGTCACAGAAAGACAAACACGGCACGATTCCACTTATATGAGGTATCTCAAAAGTCAAATTCATAGAATTAAAGAATGAAATGATGGTTGCCAGGAACAGGGTGGGGGAAATGGGGAGTCGCCTGGACCCCAATGCAACTGTACTTATAGGTAGGGTCTTAAGGGAGGAAATTACAATTAAATGAAATCATAATCAACAAACATAAAGTTTCAGTTCAGCAAGATGAATAAGCTCTAGAGATCTGCTGTACAACATTGTACCTGTGGTCAACAATAATGTAGTACACGCTTAAAAATTTGTTTAAAGGGCAGATCTCATGATAAGTGTTCTTACCACAATTAAAAAAAGAAAGAGGGCTGGCTGCTTAGCTTGGATGATCACACCGAGGGCCAGGGTTCCAACCCTGCACTGGCTAGACACCAACAAAATAAAAAGAAAAGAAAAGAAACAAAGAACACTTCATCTGACCTGCTCCTCCAGGGGAAGGAGAGAATCAGAAACCAGAGCCTGAGAACAAGGCTTTTTACTGTGAGCCAGCCTTGGCGATATATATAATAAGTGTTATGCAGCAAATATGTCAAAATGTTTAGATTTGGTTAAGCAGAGAGGTATGAGTCCATGTATATATAAAATAATTTTTTTCCCTGTATGCTTGAAATAGTTTATAATAAAAAAAAAGAGTTTTTAAGCACCAGGGATTTGAAGACAGGCTCTTGGGTTAAGTCTTCTTCTCACCCATTACTAGCTATGTTTTGGACAAGTTACTTCCTTTCTCATCTGTAACTGGCCCTCTTGGGAGGTCATATCCTATTCACCGGAACTGGACACTTGATTTAGTTAACATTGGGAAATGGCTTGCCAATATTCTCTTTTCTGAAAACAAAAACTTTATTGGCTGCTCTATTTTTGAAATGTAAGTTTCTGGGGTTGAACTTCCACTCCCACACACACACACACACACACATTCCAACATACACACAGTTTGAAGTTTTTGCTTGCTTTTATATATAACCTTTAGGTTAGGAATTCATTTGGAATTTGACAAGGGATGATTTAATTTACAATCTACATAGAAAGTCCCTTTGACATTCACAGGCTATATGACTGATTGATCTTTGTTCTTTGAAAGAGTTTAGACATTCCAACATACACACAGTTTGAAGTTTTTGCTTGCTTTTATATATAACCTTTAGGTTAGGAATTCATTTGGAATTTGACAAGGAAGTCCCTTTGACATTCACAGGCTATATGACTGATTGATCTTTGTTCTTTGAAAGAGTTTAGGTCTATTCTCAGAAGAATGTCCAAAGGCTACTTTTATTTATTATTTATTTATTTATTTTAAAAGATGACCAGTAAGGGTATCTTAACCCTTGGCTTGGTGTTGACAGCACCACGCTCAGCCAGTGAGCCAACCGGCCATCCCTATATGGGATCCGAACCCGGGGCGGATCTTAACCCTTGGCTTGGTGTTGACAGCACCACGCTCAGCCAGTGAGCTAACCAGCCATCCCTATATGGGATCCGAACCCGGGGCCTTGGTGTTATCAGCACCACACTCTCCCGAGTGAGCCACGGGCCGGCCCCCAAAGGCTACTTTTAGAACCAGTATTTGTTTTATAGTTTGGAGGCATATTGAAAAGTAGAATCCAGAATTTGTGGCAAATTTGGGTCTAGAGAGGTTAATGTATTTACCTCCTTAAAATCTTCCTTTGGGAATGCTCTTCGCAGTTCCAGTTTTAGTCATCAGCGAGGCCCTTCTGCTGCCTGAGGAGCCCTGAAACCCAAGGGGGAAGCTGTACCCCTGGGGGGCTCTGGCCTTTACAGGCTGGGATCAGCCATCCTAGGGAACCCACAGTCCTGCCAGCTGGAGACGCCAGACAGTGGATTAAGAATCTGCATTAGAGAATGGAAGGGAAGAGGTAAGGTGTAAAAATGAGGGGTTCTGGGTTTGACACAGGATATAAGCTCCAAAGTTTCCAGGCTGTGACCTCATTGTCATTCCCCAAATCTTTTTTTCTTTTTAATATCCCTGGCCTCTCAATCCGGATACTTGGGAGTTAGCCTGGCCTTTCTCCGAACATCAGATTCAATCCAGCACCACGTCCTGTAGACTCTACCTTCTTAATATGGCCCAAGTTGGCACCACTGCTAGCCTCTAAGGGGACCTTTGTTTGAAATTAGTTAAAAGGCTCCCCCCTGGACTCAAACAGCTTTCAGGTACATTACTTGGCTAATGAACAGCTTCTTGGTGAGAAAAGGTGTCCTTTCTTCCTGGCTCAGCTGGGGGCACAGGTGGCATTTCAGCCCCTCACTGCCCTCTCCTACCTGTGTGCAGCAAGGATGGCACTGTGCTATCCCCTGGCCCTGCTCAGATGTTTTGCCTCCTCCCTGTTGGCCCTGTTGCTTGTGGGACGGCTCTAAAGCTGGTGACCACAGTTTTCTCTCTCATCTCCCTCCCTCCCTGGTGTTCTCAGGGCTGCCTCCAGAACGGTTGGCAAACTTTCCAGGCACTCCCCAGTGTTTTCATGACAAACTCAGATGCTCAATGTGGCACCTAAAGTGTTGTCCCTGCTAATTTCTATTTCCTCTTCTGCCTCTCCCACCGGCAACCTTCGTTCACCTGGAGCTTCCCTGGCCTCTGCTGGGAAAGCCCTTCTTGCTTCCTTTCTCCCCCTGGCCACACCTCCCAGTCTTTCAAGACTTGGTTCCAGAAATGCCTCCCCCAGGAAGTCTTCCCAGGTTGGGTGGCCCTTCTCTAGGCTTCCCTCTCTCCCTTGGCACTATATCACCCTGTATTGTGATCAAATGGAGGCACTGGTGCCTAGAGGCCATGATACTTTTACGGGCTCATGACAGTGTTTTAATTTATGTTAAAATCAGATTAAAAAAATGAACTTTATGGGTCAAAGGAAAAAAGAAAATGTGTTAATTTTCTTCTCACATTGCAAAGAGAAATTTGGCTGGTTGGTTAGTTCAGTTGGTTCGAGCGTGGTGTTATAACACCAAGAGGGTTTGGATGACCTTACTGGACAGCCAACAAAAACCAAACCAAACCAAACCAAACCAAAACTTGTAGGGCCCAAGAAAATCTATTACTCTTGACCTTGGTGTTATCAACACTGCCCTCTAACCAAGAGAGCTAAAAGGCCAGCTATTTTTTTAATAGAGGAAGACACCCACGGAAGCAAAAGTACCTAATGCCCATGAAAGTCATCATATGGCCCTGATTGCCACCCTTTCCCCCTTCCCACAGGAGAAAGAAGTAGAGAGCTCCTCGGGGTGGGGGGCTGGACCCCACCCACACTGTGTTATGCTATTTTTAAACCTTTGCATCCCCAGCTCAGTGCTAGGCACGCAGGACTGGCTCAGTCAATGCTTTCTGAGGAAGTGGATAAGTAAATAAACGAATGGCCTTGGGTGAGGCTCTTGACCCCCCGAGTCTCCATTTCTTCATCTGAACAGCGAAGCTCCATGCAGCTTCACAGGGTTGCTGTGAGGATCAAGGGTTGGGTGGGAAAATGCTCCGGAACTGCGCAGCTTGGAGCCATTCCTGAGGCTGTGCAGATGTGGGCAAGGAGAGGGCCAGAGGTTGTTAAAAATGTCTCCGGGTGGCTTTGATACCTTTGTTTTGGTAATAAACAACATTATCCTATTTATATACATAGAGAGAACTGGAAGGACAGACACCAAGCTTCTCACAGTGGCTGGCCCCGAGCATGGGTTACCTTTCTTTAAGATTATTTATTTATTAATATTATTATTTTGGGTTACCTTTGTAATTAGAAAACTAAGGGCTGGCCGATTGAAACTAAGGGCTTCATTGGTTAGAGTGAGTGTTATAACATCAAGGTGAAGGGCTGGGATCCCCATGCCAGCCGCCAAAAAAAAAAAAAAAAAAAAAAAAAAAAGGAGCTGAATTAAAATAAAGTACAAGGCCCCTTTGCCCTAGAGGAACAGGGCTTGTCTCATTTTAGGTCATTAAGGTCCTTTAGACCTTTAGCGTTTTTTGTTTGTTTTTTAAAACCATACCTAGAAGCATACGAAGGCCAGGTCTGTGTCGTATTTTCCGGTGTGTCCCTGGCTCTGGCACGGGTGAGAGACACAATGAATGAATAAATCCCCCATTTCGTGACTGTATCTGGCACCCCATTAACACCAGAGCCCCTGCCCCCGAGTGGATGAGAGGAAGCGGGGCTGGCGGTGGAGAGAGCGGAGCTGCGGGACGGCCACTGTTCAAGGTGATCGTGGGGACGATGAATGAAGAGCCCTCGAGGCACTTAAGAAATCTTGGTTCCTGTTCCGCCCCACAAACACTTCAGGGACAGATTTCCTGTGTTCACAGTCATTTAGTATTTCCCATGGCTCCCCAAGGGTTGGAATGGTTTCCTCTTTATAAGCCGTGGGTGCCTGTTAAGTCACAGACGGTATCAGCCTTGTCTGTCCCGTCCATGCTGTGTGTCCAGCGTCTAAGCCGTTGAGCGAATGAATCCGCCCACGGTGACTTCTTTAACCGACTGCTGGGTACCTCCCCACCGGGGAGAATAAAACCCAGCTCTGGATAATAAGACCCTGCACAGCCTCCCGCACCCTGTAATTAGGAGCTCCAGGAATCGCCTTTGTTGTGGGCGACCAACCACAGGCAAAGCCAAGCACCTGCTCCTCCAGTCGGTGCTCCCGGGAGGACCCCGGCTGCCGCGTCCCCGGCTGCTTCTCGGGGTCCCTTTTCTACGCTTCCCGGGAGCTGGGGGCCCGGAGGCGCCCCCGGACCCGCGGCGAGGGCCCGCCCCAGCGCGTCCCATCCGTGGTGATGCGCGTCCCCAGGCGCCCCACACCCTGCAGGGGGCCAGCCTCCTTCACCTCCTGGGGCGGGGCGGGGGGGCATCGTCAGGCACCCGCAGGACTGCGGGGACAGGAGCCTGAGTCACGGCCGCGCACGCCCTCTCCTCCCGGCTTCCACACTGGGGCCACCTCTGCCTTGCAGGGTCGGGCCCCGGCACAGCCAGATCTCCGCGGGTCTCCTGGGCGCCCCATCTCCACGGCCTGAGTCGCCGCGGCCGCCGTTCCCCTCCAGGGCGGCCGGGGGCGCCACCTGGCGGGCGCGGATCGCGACTGCAGGGCCAGCGGGGGAGCCCCCAGCCCAGCTCCAGGGGTTGGCCTGTGGGTCTCGGGCGGATCCCCTCCCCCTTAAAGGGCCCCGCGGCCGCCCACGGTGCCCCGCCTTGGGGGCCAGGCCCGATGGGCCCCAAAGGGCTGGGCGCCACGGGGCTCTAGGCTGGTAGACGCGGCCCCCGCCCCTTTCTCTCTTAGACTCCTAGGTGGTCTTCCTTATCCCGCTGTCTCTTGAAAGTACGCCCAGACCCCGGGTCCCTTTGGAGAGCTTTTCCCCGTAGGGACCGAGCTCTGAAATCGGCTGTTTTAGGTCGGACTTCCCCTCTCTCCTTGTGGCCTTGTCGGAAAAGGGCAGGAATCCTTTTTCTTTCCCCCACTTTCTCCCTAGGAAAGACCACACAGCTTGCGCCCCGGGGGCCCACCATCACCTACCCCCACCGCGGGCAGTTTTTAAAAAGATGGGTTCGCCCACAAAGGCAGACACCCCTCCTGCCCGCGTGTTACCTTCCCTTTTTTTTCAGATTTTTTTTTGTTTTGTTTTTGGCCCCAGTTTGTCAGCTATAGCGGGTCCAGCCAGTCTTCGCTCCCAAAGGAGGCTGTTTCCTCATGACCCTGCTGCAGAGTCAACCCTTAACACCCGTCCAGGCTTGGGAGACACTGCCCCAATTTCTCAGTCCCTTCCCTCCCAGAAACTCCCCATCCCCTTTTGTTTTTGAAGAATCTCAGCTCCTCCCCTTTTTTAGGCTCTTAAAGGGCCAATCCACCTTAGACTAGCATGGATCTCGCGCTGGAAGGATGCTTAGACACCAGCTAGCGATCCAGTGCCTTTGCAGACAAAGAGGCTTAGGCCCAGAGAGCAGACATGACCTACCAAAGGTCACAGAGCAAGTTACCAGTGAAGCCAGAACTTGAACCCAAGTCTCTGACTCTGAAGCCAGTGCTTTTTCTATGGATCTACTTAAAAAACCAGAAACTAAAAACACAAAAACCCACAATGGTGACAGGAGCATTCTCTGATACTGTCTTTTGTTTCTCCAACCCTGGGCTTTTCTACTGGGAGAGTGACCAGAACCTGCCTGTTCCGGTTATGTGGCCAGGAGACCCTTTTCTAAATAAAAGAGGGTTAGAACTGGAGGGAGGGTGGGGGACCGCTCTGGTGTCTGTCTGTTTGGCAAAGGGAACACCACTGGGTTAGTGGGGCCTCTCCAGTGCCCGCCCTTCTGATTGCTGGGCAGTGGCAGGCTCCCAGCCAGAGCAAAAAATAAATCCCCAGAAAGACTTAATGGGCTCCAATGGGTGGTGGCCACTCCCTGCCGCAGTATCTTCAGTGACCACTCTGGTGGCCCTCCTGCCATCCATTTTCAGGGTCATTGGCTCTCCCAAACTCTGGGGAAGCCCAGGCCAGAAATTCCTTTCCTGTAGGTACTGACAGCTTTGTCTTGGGGATCCCTCCCATGGGGGGTATATTTGGGGAACTGACAATATTTAACCCATCCCTAAAATGGGACTCTCAGGAAGCATTATTGGAAAAAGGGAGAAGACCTTTGGGTGGGGCCCTCCTGGCTGGGGCCCTGGGCGGGTGGGTCCTGTGTGCAGCCCTGGATACAGACAGATGCCCCCTTTGTTCTTCTCGCCCCACTGCCTGCCCTGCTCCGTCTGTAACCGCCCCAGCCTGCTGCTCTCCTGGCTTTATCCCTGCAGAACCCGCTGCCTCCTTGGCCTTCACCTTATTTTTTAAAAAGCCAGAGCCAGTTTGCGTGCAGGGCCCTGCATCCTCTGCATCCTTTTGTTCTTGATCCTCTGTTAAAGGGTCCTTGCTCTGTGGAAAGGGCCAGTGTTTCAACTCCGTGCTTCTCCCACGTCCCTGTTATTGCTGTTGCCATCCCTTTCCTGCCCCTGAACACCCCTCCCTTTCTCAGGCTTCAAAATCAAAGCCCTGGGTTCTTTCCCTGGAAGTTGGAGATTGAAAAATTGTCTCCCTTTCCCCTTCTTCAGGGCAAGATCTTCAGCTGGAAGGGGGTGCCTTGGGGTCCTGGGGGAGTGCCCCCCTGCCCTCCTCCAGGGCCAGGGGACCAGCATCTTCAGGCAGGAAATACTCAGACCACTGTGAGGCCCGGGCCTCGAGGCCTGGAAAGAGCCGCATCCCTGGCCGAGACCACCGGCGCTACTACCACGACCACTGGCGGCTGGAGTATCTGATGGACTTCAACCCTGCCCGGCATGGCATGGTGTGCATGGTGTGTGGCAGCTCCCTGGCTACCCTCAAGCTCAGCACCATCAAGCGCCACATCCGCCAGAAGCATCCCTACTCTCTGCATTGGAGTCCCCGGGAGAAGGAAGTCATCAGCAACAGCTGGGATGCCCACCTGGGGCTGGGGGCCTGTGGAGAGGCTGAGGGCCTGGGGGCCCAAGGGGCTGAGGAGGAGGAGGAGGAGGATGAAGAGGAGGAGGAGGAGGGGGCCAGCCTCCAAGCTTGCCCGCCCAAGGGCCCAGGTAATGCAGGACATGGAGAGGCAGGGGCCCAGGTGGCCTGGGGGGCCCAGTGGGGACAGCCCTGGCTTCTCTGCCTACTAGCTGATTTTCTTGAGTAGGTCACTGCTCCTTCTCTGGGTGGGGTCTTTTTATTGCTCTTATTGCACAATAGTGGGGGAGGGATGGTGGGGTGTTGTGTGTGGGGTCTCCAGTGTCTCTGACAGCCTTGACATTCTGTGGTTTTAGAAGGACCAAGGAGAGTAGAGGCTGGGGGAACAGGCAGGGGAAGGACTCGGAGGGAGGCCAGGCTGAGGTAGGTGAGGAAATGGGAGAGTGCTGGGAAGGAATGGCTGACAGTGAAGTCCAGGGACGGGGCTAGACTCTGGTCTAGGGGAGAAGTGGGTGGGCTTAGAGTGTGTGTGCAGGAGGATTAGGGAGGTGGGTTAAAACGTGAGCAGAGAGGAAGAGAAGGGTAAAGGTTAGGCCTGGGCCTCAGAGTTAGAGAACCAAGTGTGAGAAACTTCTGGAGGGCCTGGCTGTGGTGGGGGTGGGGGGCTCCCTGAGAGGGCCAGCGTCTCAGTTCCTTCCCTCCAATCCTTTCAGGCAAAGCCCCAGCTGGTGGGGGCTGCCGGCGCCAGCGGAGAGGGGGCCCAGTGGCACCCCGGGCTCGGCGTCGGTGCCTCTCAGCCTCCCGGAGGGCCGGGGGCAGCAGGGGGCTGGGGGCCCGGCGCCTGGAGCGGAGGCTGAAGGAGTCCCTGCAGAATTGGTTCCGGGCCGAGTGTCTCATGGACTATGACCCGCGGGGGAACCGGCTGGTGTGCATGGCCTGTGGCCGGGCACTGCCAAGCCTGCACCTGGACGACATCCGTGCCCACGTGCTGGAGGTGCACCCCAGCTCCCTGGGGCTCAGTGGCCCCCAGCGCAGTGCCCTGCTGCAGGCCTGGGGCGGCCAGCCTGAGCTCACCCAGTCCCCACCAGGTGCGAGGCCTGTCCCAGGGCTGAGACCCCCTCATGTTAGGGCTGCCAAGCGGGGTCTGCGGCCAAAACCGGGAGGCAGGGACTCCTGGTTGAGGAGTGAGGCCAGGAGCTCACCCCCTCCCACCCATCTACACACACGCCCACCCCCCACACCCACCCACCAGGGCCTCTAGCTTGGGGCTGGGGTGAGGAGCAAGGATGGAGGCCCTCTGCTGGGTTAGGGCAACCCAGCCATTAGGCTGAGCCCCTCTCCCTCACCCCTTCCCCAACAGACGATGACCTCGTCCCCCAGGACCTGACCACAAAGAGCCGGGACTCGGCCCCCGCTGCTGGAGCCCCCTCCTCTCAGGATCTCAGCCCCCCAGACGTAAAGGAAGAGGCTGGCTGGGTCCCTGAGAGGCCCGGGCCCGCAGAGGAGGAGGAGCTGGAGCAGGGCGAGAGGGCGGGGGTCCCTGGCCGGTCGCCGCGGGGCCGCGACCGCCCCCGCCAGTCCCAGGAGCGCTGGCGGCTGGAGTACCTCATGGAGCTGGACGGCGGCCGGCGCGGCCTGCTGTGCCTGGTGTGCGGGGGCGCGCTGGCCTCGCTCGAGCTGAGCACCGTCAAACGGCACATCCGCCAGCGCCACCCGGGCTCCACGCGCCTCGGCGGGCCTGTCAAGGCCCTCTTCGCCCACGAGTGGAGCGACAAGGCCGCCCACCTGCTGGCCCTGGGGCTGCCCTGCCCAGAGTCCCGCCCGGGCCCTGCCGCCCCCAGCCCAGCCGCAGCCTCCGAAGAGGGGGGAGGGGACGAGGAGGAGGAGCCAGAGCAGGCGGAGGAGGAGCGGTGGGGTGAGCCGGTCAGGGCCCGCGCAGGTGGACACG